AAAAAAAAAAAAAAAAGAATATGGAATAATTAGTTATTAAAAGATACTTGTTTGTATGGTATTGATAAGGAATCTTAGGCAAACATTCCTCTTTATAATGAAGCTTTCTTCCTTTGACTGGCAGACTATTCCCTAAACTAGTTGATGCACGTAGGCCTTACATTAAAAATAAAATAAAGTGATGGTGTTATAAACTAGCAGCTTGAATTTTAGTACAAATACTGTGCTTAAAATTCTGTCAAACTGGAGTGCCTGCTCTGTGAGGCGCACAGGGCAAGGTGCTGGGAATATAGCAGCAAACAAGACAGGCAAAAATCCCTGCCCCGTGGAGCTTACAGTTTAGTGGAAGGGGGCAGATGACGCTCAGCAAGTCAAACAGATAGCACGTCAGATGGCAATAAAGGCAATGGAAAAAAATTAAGTGGTGGAGAGGGATAGGGAATTCAGCTCAGGGACAGAAGGGGGGGAATGAAGTTTCAAATAGGGTGATGGGGCACGCCCCCTGGGAAAGGGACTTCTGAGCAGAGACCTGAAGGAGGAGGGAGAAAGAGCTGGGCAGTTGGCTGGGCCACGAGCATTCCTGGGAGCAACTCGTTTTGAACAATACAGTTTTAAAGGATTGGTGGATTACTTCTGTACAGGCAGTCCAGCTGCTGCATTCCTTGTCACTTTCAATTAACCATGAGTACACCCAGCTAGCTCATCAGACTCCCGTGTCTCTCCCTTCTGGCAGCTGGGGACAGATACCCTAGTCTGTGCCAAAGCTGCCACGCTGGACCCGCAGCTGGAAGCAGAGAAGGCAGCCCCACCCCTTTCTCCTGGGCCTCTGCCGGGGTGGTGAGAGCTGTAACCCTTACCCTCCCAGTCCCAAGCAGCCCCAGTCCCTCCCCACTGAGTCTAAAGGGGCATTAAAGTTTGCTTTAAAGTTTCTTTTGTACCTGGTGAGTCCGTGCTCTCTGAGTAAGGGCTCTCATTTAGAAGCAAAATCACCCACTCTCAGAGTTACTTTTAGAATTAAGAATGTAATCTTCCACCAGATTTAAAGGGTATTAGAATTTTGTTGTTGATGTCAAGTCCTCAAAGCTGTCATATTTGGAGTGAGGGTGTTAACAAAGAAGTATATCTAAGTATTTGTTAATTGCCATGCATATATTTTAAAAATTTCATCGGTATTTGTAGCTTCTGATCATCTGCTCCTGTTCCAACTGATGACTTGCTGACTGTTTGCCATTCCTGTTGATATAAGGCGCAATTACAAGGAAGATGCTGTAAGCTCCTTGAGGGCAGGACTATGTCTGTTTTTCTCGCCGTCGTAAACCCAGTGCCTACCTTAGCGCCTGGCACATCGGAGACCCTCAGTAAATGCAGATGAATAAATGAATGACTCCAAAGATGACAGCTTTGGTATAGAGAGAAAAGACGTTTATGCTAGAGTGGAGGGGCGCAAGCATAGAGAGCACAATGTCTGAAGCAGGAGAGGTAGGATGGGGCATGAGTAATGATTTTTCCCCCTCTAACTTTGGAGATACTGGGCACCCAAGTGAAGTGTGCATTTAATGCACAGGGCAGGGCAGGGGTGGGGAGATGAGTGTGAGAAAATCACTGGCACAGAGCCCCTTCCCTCCCATTCCCCCACACTCCACCTCCATGGATGTTGGATTACTCTGGTCAATTTACTTAGCCCCTTGGAGACTCAGTTTCATCATCTGGAAAATGGGTATAACAATCCTGACTTCCCAGGGTTGCTATGAGAACTAAGTAGGATAACGAATATAAAGCTCTTGACCTAGAGACTACTACCATAAAAAAGTCATATGACACTCTCATTTTTTCACTTAACATGTACACATTGAGAGGCAGTATACATGGTTGGGAGCAGGGATCTGGAGCCAGACTGCCCGCATTTGAATCCCAGCTTTATTGCTTAGAGCTGAATGGTCTTAAGAAAGTTACTGAATTGCTCTGTGCCACAATTTCCTCATCTGTGAAAAACAGGATAATAATGCTTATCTCATGGTGTTACTCTGAGGATTAAATCAGTTAAAAAATGTAAACCACTTAGAACAGTATCTGGCATACAAGCATTATTATTGTATGCTAGGCATTTTTCATGTGTGTTTCCCACTTTGATCCCTCTAGGGCTCAAACAACAGATATGTTGATGTGATGGTGGAGAAGTTCATGCTGGATGGGCTGGATCCATGTCTCATGTCAACACTGGTTCTCAAACTCGAGTGGGCATTGGATTCACCCTGAGGGCTTGCTGAAACACAGGCTGTGGGAGCCCCACCCTCAGAGCTTCTGATTCAGAAGGTCTGGGTGAGGCTTGAGATTTTCTGTTTCTAACAAGTTCCCAGATGGTGCTGATGCTGCTGGTCCAGAGACCACACTCTGAGAACCACTGTGATGTAACAAGAAAGGATGTCAGAAGCTCTAAGAGAAGAAGGAAGGATGGATGCATAAAGAGATAGGAGTTCTGGAACAATCCCAAATAGGACTGAGTTATGGGCACTAGTAGAAAGAATAATTTGTTCATTTATTCATTCAACAAACATTTACCTACTGCCCACTGTGAGCAGGGCCCTGTATTCACCAACTGGTTGCAAGGACCAAGATTTGGCCAAGAAGAGACAACAGTGAGCTGGAGAGGACTATCAATTTACTGAATTAAAACGGCATCAAAGAAAGAAGCCATGTCCCCACTGGCCTAACTCAGGCATCATTTTGTGTGTGTGTGTGTGTTTATCAGAATATATATAAAATTTACCATTTTAACCATTTTTAAGTGTACAGTTCATGGCATTAAGTACATTCATCTGTTGAACAGGCATCACCACCACCTATCTCCAGAACTTTTTTCATCTTCCCAAACTGAAGCTCCGCATCTGTTCAATAATTCCGTTTCCCCCTGCCCCACATCCCCTGTACTTTCTGTCTCTATGAATTTGACGGCGTAGCTCATATAAGTGACATCAGGCAATATTTGTCGTTTTGTGCTTACTTACTTCACTTAGCATAATGTCTTCAAGGGTCATCCACGTGATAACATGTGTCAGAATTTCCTTCCTTCTTAAAGATGAATAATATTCCACTGTATGTACACACCACATTTTGTTTATCCATTCATCCATCAGTAGACATTTGGGTTGTTTCTGCCTTTCAGCTCTTGTAAATAATGCTGCTATGAACACGGCTATACACTATCTGTTCAAGGCCCTCCTTTCAACTCTTCTGCATATATACATCTAAGCATCATTTTAAAGCAGATAAATTTTGCTTGGGTGAATATTAAGATCACATTTCTCATCTCCCACCCCCCACTTTTCCCTTCTTAGAACTTTATCCCTCCCGACACTCAGGTACCCAGATCTCTCAGCTGCCCCAATCTTATAAATCATTCACACCTCCAGGTAAATTAGAACAACAAGAACAAGAGGAATATATTTTAGTGCTTTATAGGCTGAACGTATGCATGAATCTTCCTTTCCCTATAATGACAATCTTGCTGATGCACTGTCCAAACACACCTGGCCAGGAGCTTGTTCTGTACTATAGGGAAGACATGTAGTCACTGGAATCAGACACCTGAGGCAGAAGCCTGGCCTTACTATTTACTATTAAATCACTTTAGGTAAGTGATTTAATCTCTCTAGCTTCAATTTCCTGATCTATAAAATAGGGATAATAGTTCCTATCTACTTGGTTGCTGTGAGAATCAAACTAAGATAAGGTAAACTAATTAAATTAAGATAAACCAAGATAAGGTAAAGCACTTAACCAAGTGTCTGGCATACGGTGAGTACCCAACAAATATTGGTTGTATCCGGGTAACTCCTTCAGATACATGCCAAGGAAGTTCCTGACATCTAGGTCCATAGAAGCACATTACAATCATCGTGGAATTAACAGTTCCACTAGGCCAGAAGTCCAGAATCCTAAACTCTGGACATTTTTTTTAAATCACAGGATTCAAAACTACAACCTGCCCACAGGGGTTAAAGATATCTTTGGATGGGGAAGATATCTTGGGTGCTCTGTGGAACCCACAAATTGTACCAGAATCCCCAGCAGCCAGCTATGGGTGTAAGTATTCTTCCTGAGTTTTTTTTTTTTTTCCTTCTGAGTTTGCAAATGCCAGATAAAAATGGATTCCAGAACAATGGAAATTTGAGATGAAAAATGGTTACAGCAGATTTGGCCGCGCCTCCTCCTAGGATCGCCCCAGTCATTTTGGGACATGTTCTGACAACTTGCCGGCCTCTTTCTAAACCTCTGAGAGGGGGTGATGTTCCTGCCACTTCCCCTGGAAGAATATTCCACGGTGAAATATGACTCACTGGCAGGGCCCTTGTCTTTGAGATTCCCTTTCTTCTCCTGACCCACTTTCGTCTTGCTGTGCCCTTTTGTACAAAGTCAAACGAGGCCTCCCCTGGAAGAGGCTGCTCTGCAAGGACTGACATTTAAAGACCATTACCACCTCTTCAACTCGGCCCTGTTCATTTAGCCAAGCAAAGCATGTTTAGTTCTTTTAATCTTCCCTCATAAATCAATCTCTTCGTTCCCTTAATAGTCCTTCTCCCGTGCTTTGAACTCCCTCCAGTCTGGCCAGCCTAAGCTCTTGTTCCGTTTACACTTAAAAATTGCCAGTCGACTGAGAAATGGCTGCACAGGAAACACATCCGTGCCTCGGCAGGGTTCTCGGAGCTCCCACCACACTGGACTGTCTGCTGCCCAAGGTACTGTGAGCCCCAGAAGAGCCCTGCCTGGTGGCCAAGCCCCAAGGCCTTAAGGTAGGCGCGAGGCATTTGCTGCCTACTCCGTTACAGGTCTTTCCATGGACCTGGCTCACCCGACCAATGGTCAAGGGAATTGCATGAGAAGCCCCCTCAGATACCTGCCCCATTCCTTACCCTCAGCCTCCTCGATCTGGCCCACCTTTCACTTGGCATCTACCTACTAGAGCGACAGGGGTCCCTGGAAAAGCCCAGAAGGGGTCTTACCTGGAAGGTCCCGGCATGGTCTTCCTCCTTATCACCCTCTCTGTTCTCTTTGAGGGCGATCAATGTGAATCCTCTAAAGTAAGAGGGAGGGGCAGCTGAAAGTGTCACTGCAGAGACAGAAGAGAGCAGATTTTAAGCGTAAGAATCAGCTGCCTTCCATTCGTCAAACGGATAAACGCTGAGTTCCCCAACATCCCAGACCTGTGGGTAGCAGGGGCAGCTGTCAGTGGGAAAGGCTCATTCTGTAGAGTAGTGAAATTTCACCCTCTCCACCCAGCCCCCTCTCACATTTCAGAACCTACTAAACGTCTGAACTACAATCTCACTTAGGAATTCTTGAATCAACCAAGGCTGAGGGGAGCTCTCTCTCAGTAACCACAATTTGACAAAACTAGTCCCTGGTCAGCAACTCTAGTCTTGACAGTTATCTAATGTTACACTTCCACAGATCAGCTCAAGAGAGATCCAGCTGCTTGCAGCACAAACTCCTGTAAGATGTGGCAAAACACATTTCCTATTTCTTGTAGGTACTCAGCTAGAACACATTCCCAGCCTCCCTTGCAGTTTGGTCTGCTGGTGCCCCAGTCCTACCGGTGGAAAGTGTGAACAGACATGATGCATGCCACTTCCTGCCTGGCCCATCCAGACTTTCTACATGATTCTCCATTCTTCCTCTCCCATCTCTGCCTGCTGAATGCAGGAGATCCAGCAGAGGACTCTGATGCCCCAGGAGAAGGACGGTAGAGCCACAAGATGTAAGGAACCTGGGTTTCTGGATAACCACACAGATAATCACTCATGGACCAGAAACATCCATATTATACTTGGCATAAACTGGAAATAAACTTATATTGTGGGGGATTGTTTGTTACAGCAGTTGGAATTATGAACCTACTTTAAACTCTTCCTTCCCACATCGACCCAGAGAACTAGGTATTCATTGAAATCTAGCTCAGGGATCTTAGCAATGGTGTTTGCCCCTCCCTTTGTATCTACAATCCCCTGATGGAAATCCTTTATTGCAAATTTTGCACTGGATTGCAATGCTATTTTTACCACCCTTTTCCACTGGACTGTGAGTTAATGCTGGAGAGGAACTGGGTTTTCATTTTCTTTGTATCCCTATCACCTAGCACAGAGCCTGGCATCTAAGAGATTCAAGCTTCTTGAAACTGATGTAAATTGAGGTCTAAATTACTGCCTACATTAAAATGCTAAGATTCTTTAAACATAAAATTATAGACTATTAGTGCTATCCTAAGAATCCTCCATTCCAAGCCCTCTAATTTCACAAATAGGACACAAAGACACAGAAATGTCAACAGACACGCTGAAGGTAGTAAGACCACCCAGAGGCAGGCTTTGGGTCTGGCCCCCTCCCCAGTTTAACACTCCACTCATTGCTCTACATTCCTACATATATAGGAATATCTATAGTGTGTGTATTCCGTAAGTGTCGACTGTTTTCAAAATTTAAAACTCAATTCATTGAACCTATAGTATTTATGTGATTCTGATAAGCAACCCCCTGTTAAGGAGGGGCATTTAGTCTTCTAGTTTCAGTCCTAAAAATGAAACATTCCAAAAGTCCAAAACTTAAAACCACCATCTAGGAAAATTCGGTAATGGTCCGTGAGCCACCAACACAATGACATCTTAGAGAAGCACTTGGAGACAAAGACTGCACGTCTCATGCTGTGGTTAGCCAGTTCATCCCACAAAAGTGAAGGTGCACTCTGATTGGTGGCTACTGATGTCTATAAAAGGTCAGATAGAAAGGAAGGAAGAAAGGATGAGAAAAAAGCACAAAGAAGTAAAGAAGAGTAAGAAATGTGGTTGCACAGCAGTGGCAGGCAGAAAATGATGCTTATGATGTCAGGAGAAAGAACTGAGATCTCTGAGGGATAGACAGACAGCCCCACAGCAGTGGGAGGTTATCTAGGGTGGGGTGGGAGGGCTTTCAAGGCTATTCTACACAATTCTGGAGGAAGAGAAGCAGAGAACAAGAAGCAGACAGTAAAGGTGCTCTGCCCAGATCACCTCAAATTCCTCTGTACCACTGTAATGTGACCCTGGTGCTGATGTGCCTTTGCTTCCAGAGGCCAGCACCTGCAGCTCGTCCCTGGTCACTGGCGTCTGCTCTGCCTACTATGAAAGGCCCAGCTACCTTGCATCAGGTGATGACCATTCTGAGGGGTACCTGACACCTCGAAATGGCCCTGCAGAATCAGAGCTCACTGGGGTCATGGGCTGGCAAGGCTTCTTCCTCCCCGTCCCAGTTCCCCACTCCCTTATTGGCCTCCCCTGGAAGCATTTCCTTAATAAGTCAAGGGCACCCAAATCCTCACCTGAGAGTTTGTTATGGGGTTAAATTGTGTCCTCCCAAAATATATGTTAAAATCCTAATCCCAGGTTCCTGGAAATGTGATCTTATTTGCAAATAGGGTCTTTGCAGATGTAATTAGTTAAGATGAGATCATATTGGGTTAAGGTAATCCTAAGTCCAAGATGGCCAGTGTCCGTAGAAGAAGAGACATGGAGACACACAGGGAAGAATGCCAGGTGATGACAGAGGCAGAGATTGGAGTGAGGCATCTGCAGGCCAATGAACAGCAAGGATTGTCACCAGAGGCTGGGAGAGGCATGGAAGAAACTCCCTAGGAGCCTCCAGAAGGAACCAACTCTGATGACATTTTTTACTTTTTATTTTGCGGTACGCGGGCCTCTCACTGTTGTGGCCTCTCCTGTTGCGGAGCACAGGCTCCGGATGCGCAGGCTCAGCGGCCACGGCTCACGGGCCCAGCCGCTCCGCGGCATGTGGGATCTTCCTGGACTGGGGCACGAACCCGTGTCCGCTGCATCGGCAGGCGGACTCTCAACCACTGCGCCACCAGGGAAGCCCTCTGATGACATTTTGACTTCAGATTTTTAGCCTCTAGAACCGTGAGCAAATACATTTCTGTTGTTTTAAGCCACCGGTTTGTGGTTCTATACGTGGGAGCCCTAGGAAATGAATAATACCTGCTTCTGGGGAACCCAGCATAAGACAGACAGTCAATTTCTGCTGCACAGTCACTGCCTTCAGGCTACAGCTCAAACCCCATAGACTGATAGGCCCACAGACTCTGCCTTTCTGGAGAGCTTCAGCCACGTTTCCGTTCCCTGCCACACTGCATTTCAGTCCTGGGACTCGCTCACTGGCAGCTTCCTGAAAAGCCATATATCATTTCACCCTACAGTATTTTTTCTTTCCATATGCTATTCATATGCTTGGAATGTTCTACCTCCTCCATTCTTAGCAAACTTCTTTAGAAATCAGCTAAATTTTCACCTTTACTGTGATGTTTCCTGTTTCCTCTGACTTTCCCATCAAGACCTGGGTGCTCTTTTTCCCTGGACTTTGTTAAGATTAAAAATACCTATATAATGGGCCTAATAACAGCGTTTAACCTCAAAGTATCAGTGTAAAACATAACTAATGCACTAAAGTTCTTAAAATCATGGTTGGCAGATAATAGGCACTTATTAAATATTAGCTCTTATTATTATCAGTGATGAGATGATCACATTAAATCATATTTTGTGTGTAAGTATTTGTTTACCTATTTGTGAGTCCTTCAAAGACAAGAACCACATCTTAGCTCAGCACAGTGATTAGCACAGAGTTGATATGTAATTACATTTACTGAATCGTGTTAATGGACTGCTAGACTCAGGGTTGTAAAGATGTCAATTCTTCTCAAATTGATTTATAGATTTAGTGCAACTTACATTAAATTCGCAGCATGATTTCTGTGATATTGACAAGCCGTTTCTAAAATTGATGTGAAAATGCAAAGGGCCAAGAATACCTAAGGCAATCTGGAAAAAGAAGGGCAAGGTTGGATGGCTTCTATTCCCAGATATCGAGACCTATGCAGCTATAGAAATTAAGCCAGTGTACCATAACAAGGAAAGAAAAATAGGCCTGAATAGTTTGAGGTCCAGATAAAGTTCCACAAATATATGTGAACTTGATTTATCATTAAGGATATACGGCAGAGCAGTGGGGGAAAGAAGATATTTTCAATGACAACTAGGAAACCGTGTAAAAAAGGTGAATCTTGGTCTTTGCCTCACATATTTTCTTTTTTTTTTTTTCCCCCTGGTACGCGGTCCTTTCACTGCTGCAGCCTCTCCTGCTGCGGAGCGCAGGCTCCAGACGCACAGGCTCAGCGGCCATGGCTCACGGGCCTAGCCCGTGCATGTGGGATCTTCCCAGACCGGGGCACGAACCCACGTCCCCTGCATTGGCAGGCAGACTCTCAACCGCTGCACCACCAGAGAAGCCCTGCCTCACATCTTTCAGAAAATAAATTTCACATGGATTGTAGAGCTAAATGTGAAAAGTAAAACAATAAGGTTTTAGAAAGTAGCATAAGATAAAATATGAATGACCTTGGAGTAGGAAAGAGTTTTTAAACAGGACATAAAAAAAAAATACTGATGATAAAGAAGATGTGTAAATGGAATGGTGTCAAAATTTTGCTTATCAAAAGACACTGCTAAGAAAAAGTAAGCCATGGTGTGGAAGGAGGTATTTGCAATCCATTTAACCAGAAATGGACTTTTATCCAAAATATATAAATTGACTTTTATCCAAAATATATAAAGAACTCTCTAAGACCAATAAGGAAACGATAGAGAACCCAAAGAAAAAAAATAGGGAAATCACATGAACTAACACTTCACAGAAGAAGGTGCCCAAATGGCCAATAAAGATACGAAAAGGCACTGAACCTCATTTGTCAACAGGGAAATAAGAATTAAATCCACAATAAAATACTACTGCATTTCCACTAGATTGAGTAACCTTAAAAGGATTCACATTATCAAATGTTGTTAACTGGAACTCTCACACACTACTGATGAACTGAATATGAGCAATTTTCCCTGGAAAACTCTTCAGCAGCATTTACTGAAGCTGAGCTTATACATACCCTATGACTCAGTGTTGCCACCCTTAAATCAACAGAAATGCAGACATATGTGCATCAAATGACACCTATCAGATGTTCATAGTAACATTATTTGTTTCCAACTGGAAGCACTCAAATGTCCATCAGCA